TATTTTAGAAGTCAGGGGGTCTATAGTGCATTGTGGTTTTCTCAACTTGTTATATCGAGGACCAACTTAGATGTAATGTATTCACAATAAAAACCCGAACAAAGCCATGTGTTCTGTCTCCGACGACACTGAAGCAGCACACTGGTAAACACCCATTTTGAAATGCCTTTCACAATAACATGCAAATTACAAACCTTACAAGACTCACAATTTAGAATAGGTTTGCAGTGCTTTCAAAAGACATTAAGACTATTCCTGTCAGTAACTACTTTCTATATTTCCTTCAAAAATGTTTCAAGAGATTGTCTGAAGGCTCTGTTAGTACAAGAAACTTTATCTGTCAAAGTGCTTTAAACTGACAGATTGCTAACACAAATCCATTATATTCAAATCTTAAGTAAAATAATATACTAACAAATAATTACAATAAAAATACATTTTTAAATAAAAAAGCCACACTCCTAATGTTTTTTGCTTCTTAAAGATATGGAGGAATATCCGGTGAGATTCCCAGAGAGGGTCTGATGCTGGTACCTAGCTCCAGTGCTATTAACAGGGAAGAGAGGCATAACAAGTCTCTGTGAAGTCTTAAAAGAAAATCTGGAGAAGAAGAAGAGGTTGAGTCAGGGTTTCTGGGAAGTGTTCTGAGCTTTCTTTCACTCTATTTAAACCAGTTGAAGAATACTTTTTCCACATACATTTAAAATTGTCTGTAACTGATATCAGAGGACTCTGATTATGATAAACTATTTCTGCTAGGTGCAAGTACTTGGTAAAGAGCAAGGATTCAAGTTAGCTCAGCAATAATTATTTTATTGACTTTTGCCTATGATATTAAGCTCCACTGCCTTACTGAGTGACCTTTTAAAAAAAAATTGCAATACACTTCAGGCCTGTATACGGTTTCTATTTTGTGTATAGCAGGTAACAAATTAGGATGAATTTAAAAATGTTGTACTGTTCCCATGCTCCACCTGCTTGAAGCAAGACCAAAGGGATCCTTTATTAACTGCTTTAAAAGTTTCCAAAATCTGGAATTTGCTCTTGATTTTAAGACAGATTCTAAGACATGAATTGTTGATTTGCCAGTACTTACCTCTTAGCTCAGTTGTCCTAGCAAGTAACCAAAATCATTGAAATTATATAATTATGGACTTTCTAAACGCGTCTTTAATGATAAGGTATAGTTATTGCTGAGCAATGAAGTATTGGCCAGTGGAAAATGCTGGTGGAGCCATAGCTGTATTTCTCACAGGACACTTTTGTTGCATCACTTCACTCTCATTCAATCAGTGACAAATGCACCAAATGCCTGTTTGAGCATTTACTCCACAACTGCTGCTGCTAATCATCTGCAATTCATTCATAACTAATCCGTAAATCCCCAGCCCCTTTTCCTTCTGGTCTGTCCGTAAGACTTCCCAAATGGACACACATGATTAGACCTAGTGGAAAGGCAGGCAGGTTATGCCTCTACAGGGTTTTTAGTGCTTAAAAGCATTAAATATGCACAGCCTATCCAGCAGGTAGTTGTTAATGTTACTTTTGCTATTGGTGTTAATTTGGGCAATTTCATGTTCCTTCTGTCTTCTCTCCCATAGTTAAAGCTTTCCTATCAAGGCTTCTTTTAAATTATATGAAAAACTGTTGAGGAGATAAATGTTGTCTCCCTTGAGCTTTTACAGATTCTAGTTCATTGCAGAGCTGAAGAGGGAATAGACAAAGCCTTGGGACACAGGGGAGGTGGTGTCCCTGCAGCCTACCCTAGGACATTCAGCAAACCAGCACCACTGTGCTTTTTTTCTTCCTCACATCCCCAGTGTGTCCCACCTGTGTGGGGAAGAATCTGCCACTCTTCTGTATCTATAGCTAGCTAACCCCAATTCTAGTCCTTGCTTGAAGAGTAACGGGAGGTTAGCCTGAACAACGCTGCATAGCGTGAGCATGGCACTGTTGTCATGTAGTCATGTCTGTCATCCTCCTAGGAGTGTTTGTGTGTTATGTACCTGGTTTCTAAGATGATCTAAGCAAACAGCACTATGTAGAGCATAAGTGGACATTGATGGTACTGTAGAGATGTTAGAAAACAGGTGGAGGTTGATTCTGCCTTCTTTGAAGTCCTGTCTTCAGAGCAGGAAAAGATTTCTTATCCACTGGAGCACCTGTCTAGAAGCACATGAAGTGTATTGCAAGAGGCAGCATTTATGTTTAGTACACATGATAAAGTGGAGAGGCAGGGCTAGGGAAAAGCCATGGGTATGGGTAAGGAGGAGAGGGATGCATTTCAAAAGGTACTTTGCTCCTTGAGTTATTTGTTATAGATAAAAGTTCTTGCAGATAAGTTTTGCTTTTACTAAGTAGCTGAGTGGGTTTGAGTGACAGCACCTAGAAGAGAAGATTCAGTGCTGAAAGAGTGGATGTAATGAAATATCATCTTCATTCTCTAAAATGTTGCTGCAAACTGAAGGATTGCTCTTCTTTTTGGAAGAGCTGTTGATTTTTTCGTTCATTTACAGTTTTGTTTAGTATGGCCACAGTGCACAAAAATGGAAGAATCAGTCTTGCTGGGTTTATGGAAGCCACATTTATGCTGAAGGAAACCATAACTGTTTGCTTGCTAATCTGAGTTTCAAAGAAAGCCTTGGAGGTTGCAGTTCAACTAATTCACATTTTTAAATATTGATACTGAATCTGGCTTGTTTTCAGTTTGGCACCCATCTTTACAGATACTTGAAAACTCATTTCTCAGGTCTATTCTGGAGGTGTCATAGGGGTTTTCAGGGCTGATGAATTGGTCTGTTCTGATGGATGGACTTAGAAGGAAAATATTGGCCAAGTGACTTGCAACAGTTGGCTTCTACTACTGCTGCTGCTGCTGGCTTGTTTGGTGGCTGTGTACAGTAATTTCATGACTCCATGACTCCATTTTCTTACCTTTAAAACAGGGTTGATTATTTCCTTGTAAAATTCTTTGAGATTTGCTCTATACCACAGCAAACATTGCTAACAGTAGTCATATATATTACTCTTTTAAAGCCATAGGAAATATCTGTGATTCTGATTTAGTGCCTGCCATCAGTGGGGGGCCCTAAAATAAGTCAGAATTAATAGCTGGGAGAGAGTGGCTGTTGTACAGACATGCCCACACTCCAGAGGTGCAACTGCAACTTCCACAGGTATGTCCAAACTTGCTCTGAGCTCTGTCACTGCTAATGGGGTACCCATGGTGGTATGGAGCTCAGCATGTGCTGCTGGATGCACCCAAATAGCTCAGTGGATGCCAGGGTGATGAGCCCACGCTGAGCTCCACGCTGCTGCACTGACAGCATGTTGCCAGCATCTCCCCTAGTTAATTTAAAGCTAGCTCAAGTATGTCTCCACTAGCTGCAGTTAGGCTGTGACTGCAGTATAAAAATGCACCCTACAGGAGACCACGGGCAGCCAGAGCTTCAGAGAAAGTGTCTTAGTTACACTTGCGATCAGGCACGGGCTGCTGGCATCATTTCAAATTCCCCTTACCTTTGGCTCATCATTCTTCATACTCTGCAAATGTATCTCAGCTCTCAAAGTAAGCAAAGGGTTTGTTTATACTCCTCACTTGTCATGAATTGTGTTCTATACTAGATAATACTTTAAAAAAGAATTTAAATGTCTCAATTTTCATTTTAGTTGCCACTTTATCCACACATAACTTTCATCTACCTTCTTTCCCATACAAAATGTGGAGGAAGCTTTAACATGGTGACAATAATGTTGAGAAGTAGACACTATCACTCTATTTTTAGAGAGAGAGAGAGAGAAATTGAGGCAGAGGAAAATTTATCTGCCATGGAAGGCAAGGTGGGAGAAGGAACTGGTTCTATGCATTTAATTTTCCCTAGAGGAAGCAGTGGTATTTGGATCACAAGGACTGTATCAGTAACTCACCAACTGCCAATTGCATCCTAATCCACTTTTTACCAGGTCCCGTTTTTGTACACCTTATACTAATGTTTATAAGAGAAGTCGTAAGCACAATTTAAAATGACACAGCAAATTAATAATAAACTAAATAATTCAGAACTGTATGGAACAAGCTTCCTCCTAGGATGTATAAGATAAATAAAACATGGGTTAGAAGTGTCTCTGAATGATGGTATTGTAGGAAAGGCATCTCAAAAAATCAAGGAATAATGATCACATCCTTTTCTGGTTTATAGTCTTCCTTTCTTAATATATTTACAATATGTGGCTCCAAATTTAATTGCTTATGAGCAAGGTACAAATTGAAAGTATCTGGTTTTAAGTCTCATTAGCTGCACTAAGTATCAATTCATTTGGCAAAATAATCTCCCAGAAAACAATTTGTGCCAGTTGAACGCTATTTGATGGCTGATTTCTCAAAGATCTATTCTGAGTAGAGAAAGGAGCCACATGATTCATTCAGCTTGTGCATATCTATTTTATCTCTATAGAAGGATTATATATGGAGAGATAAAGGTTTGTTAAACAAAGTATCATTAATCACCCTGTCCGGAAATGTAGACTTTGCAGGAGCATGCTGTAATTTGCATCACTTTTGCTATGCCTTGTCAGTGCTGCTGGTGAGAAATAACAAACCTGTATTTATGAAAAGGACAGATTTAAGATGAAAATAATTCTGTCCGAAAACTGTGAGAATGGTACAGAATCCTGTCGCCTGCACTCGTTCAACGGGAGAACACTGTATTTGTAATAAATTCCTTTTGCTCTGGATGAGTTCTGCATTTTCAATGAGGTTAACTTGGCAACATTCTAGTTGATTTTAATAAAAATAGCTGCTTTGAGGACAGGGAGCTGAGGTTGCCAAATTTACAGCTGCCTTGCACAATTACTCTTACACCTCCTTCAGGGCTACTTAGAACCAGTAAGCAAATTAAGTGTATCGATTGCAATTTTGTTGGACTAACCCTTTTTTCTTAAGGAATAAACTTGATTCCTTTCAGTATGTGTCTGCTCAGAGTGATCTCTTTTCTTTTCAGCCATAATACAAAGACAACATCATGGCTGGATCCACGACTTGCGAAAAAGGCTAAACCTCCAGAAGAGTGCAAAGAAAATGGTAGGTGATTAAGTTTTCCTTGCTGCTCAGAGGGGATTTGCCTTTGTGTGTGTCTCTCTCTTTCAGTTCTTACAAAAATCAGGCATTTGGGGGAATGATGAAAGGTGTTTAATTGCTGCTTTGGTTAGAAGCCATAAGTGATACCAGTTCTCAGTGTGCCATGTGTTTCTGCTTTTTATTCCCCTTTCTGATGCTATCCAAAGCTGAGGATCACAAGTGTGTTTTCTGCCTGTTGTGTGTGTGACTCCGGGACTGACCCTCTCCCTCATCTCCTACAGAGAACTTTGGTCTGCAGAACAGAATCCCTTTTCAGATTCTGAGCTTTTAATCTACAGGCGATTCAATGCATAAGGGAAACTAGCAGCACCGTGGGAATATGAATATTGTTTGATTTGTATTTAAAGGTACAGTGCTATGCTATTTAGTAGCCAATTTAAAAAAATAATGTCTGATAAAACAGGGTGTGGGAGGGAGAAAAGAGATCAGTGTCTGTCAGAGTTCAAGGCTGGATTTGGGGGCTACTGCATCGTTAATGCTTTAAAATTTAAAAGCATATGTACTGTTGAGGATGCTTAAAGGAGCTGTAGCTGTTGTGCAGGAGAGATGACTATGTTGACAGATTCAGAGATATGAAATAATACAAATCATATCAAACTATCTTTGCATTCGGTATAATTTCTAATTTTTGTCTGGTAAAGTTTATCAGTAATCAAAATCATTTAATAAAGTAAAAATAAAAATGTGTTGCAATAGGTCTTTTTCTGATAAGGTTTTTTTTTCATTGTTTTATAGTTCCACGTTAGTTCAATTAGTCAGTTAAGAAGTAATGATTTCTAAAGACTGCTACTTATTTTATTGTTGTGAGATACAGAGTATTAAATGCATGCATGCTATGTGCATTAATTCAAAGCATTTAAAATATTTTAAGTGTATTAGTAGTTTTTCAGGTACTGCATCTGATTTATTTTAAATTTTCCAAAATATATGTGTTTGGTTAATGTAAATACTATTAATAGAAAGAAAACACAGGTCTGATAAAGAGGTCACTGAGTAGTTGCTGACTGTATGAATTGCAGGGTCAGTGCTTTGGTAAAAAATATTCCTGGGTTTTTTTATAAATAGCTTCCTTTTCAAAGATTGCTATATTCAAAAAATCCCTTCTTTATTTCAGCAGCAATTCTGACGTTCTCCTCTGACATCAGAAATTATATGTCTGAATGATTTTGTGATGCTTATTCTAGCACTGACAACAGTAGCTCCCAGAGTAAATTCTACAGTGAATATAATAGAAGTATGGTACAGAAACAAAACAAGGGCACAGGAGTTTTGCTTTCTAAATCTCTCATGTTACTTATATGAAGCTATATTTTAGCCTGCTCCTTAAGAAATACTAGTGGGAAAGGCAGGAAAAAAATCCACCAATATCTGTGCAGTAACATATCAGAGATACTTGGAGTATGTGTTGCTTTTTTTTCTTTTTTTTCTTTTTCTATTAGCTGTTGTATACTGAGATCACAACAAGCACTGAAATGTCAAAAAAAAGTACCAAATTATCTGAAACAATTTAAAATTAAGATTGGTGCATTAAAGAAGCAGCATTATTTTGTAGTTATTTGACTACTGAATTATTGAATTTCTATAGTATGCTGGGTCATGTTGTTCTTTTAAGATTGCTCAGCTTATTAATGCAAAGTACTTGGAGTGATGCATAAAAGACTTTAGGGAGAGATTTGCTATTCTTACAGCAATTGTTCTTGTAACATACTCTCTTTCCTAAGGTTCTTGTGTTGTTTGAAAGTGTCGTTTGTCTTTCTTTTTTAATCTAATACCTGCAGAAGAGAAAGTTCTTAAAAATCACTGATATGCTTTAAAATGATTGTGCCTTGCCATGGAGGTCCAACATCAGGGACTTTACTATAGCACGTGGGGATTTGGAATTTTTGTTTAGATTTAATCTCATTCAAGAATTAATTTCAGCTATGGCTTGGTAGCTGTTTTATGCCAAATAGCTTTTCTGTTACATTTTGTGATTTTGTGATTTATTCTGGCAGATATTACTCAGAGATACAAAATTTTAGAAAGACATCGGTGTTTAGATAGGAAGTGATACTTACCTTGCTGCTTTATCGCTGTCTGACTAACCTGTGCTTTTCATTGACATTCATTTTGTCACATCTGAAATTTGTATTAATTCTCTGAGATACATTATGACGTCCTTATCACCTACCAGATTCTGATATCAGGTTTTCGTTGTGAACAACTCAACTTCTGTGTTCTCCTTTCAATGCAAATCCTGCCAAATCCTCCTTCATTCTGCCACCAGCGTGCAGCTTCCACACCAGACAGTGTCCACACAACGTACAATATCTGAGTCCTGATGCTCTGAGCTACTGATGTTGAGGGCCCCCTCTGCTCCAGGCATTTTCTGTCTTCCACTTTCAGCTCTTCAGTGCTCCTTCGCCAAATATGATTTCTTCATTATCTCTGGCTTCTGTATCTGCAAATCCCAGTGCTTGCTCATTTCCTTTGCAAAATCTGAATCAACCTTCCAGCACATCCCTCCTCTTGAAAAATTTTCACATGCCTTTGCCAAGAGATTGACAAGCTCTACCAAGTGAAGCTTTCTTTACTTCCATGCTGTGGACTCTTTCTCTTTTCCTTTAATGACACCCACTGCTCTAAATCCTTTTGTAGGTCAGGAGGTTTTAAGGCTGATCTTTTTTTCTGTCTCTCTCATGGAACTTATGTGTGATTTTCAGCAAATTACTTTGACTTTTGCTCCGTCAGATCTACTCAAATGGCAGGTCTTTGAAGCAAGAACTGCCTCTTACGTTTGTATGGTGCCGATCTGAATTTCATAATATAATAAGCAGAAATAGCTGACAATTCTTCAAAACCAGATGCAATTTTTTACCCATTTCTGATTTCCTCCAGAAAATCTTGATGTTAATAAAAATAATTGTGTTTTCTCTGCTGAAAATATGAATTAAATATTTGGGTTTTTTCTGAATTGAAATACTTCATTTAAATGATTATTTTTTTTCCACATCAAAATTAGTTAACCAATTTTTCTGTGTAGAGTAGTACAGAAGTTATAGTTCTGCCCCTTCTGTTTCTGTGAGCTAGATTCACTGGTTGCTAAATTTTCTGTAAAGTCATATAACCCAGCAGGCTCACAGGATTTGCATGATTACGGGTATATTATGTGAGTGGTCTTCCAACAGAGTGTGTTCTTTGGGAGAGAATATGGAAAAGAATGACAAGTCCCATAAGGTAGTAAGAAATGTAGTTTAATATTGAAAGGCAGTTCAGCTGTAATGACATGAAATATCACAGGTTTTAGGAAGTTCATTTTTTGTTAAGAAATGTAGCGATCAATTTTTTCAAATTCTCTAATTCATTTAAGGGAACTTTCATCCTGGAAAAAATTTCAAAATTTTCTTCGATATCCAATTTGGAGATTAAACAGCTGTTGAAATTTCCTGTGATCAGATATGTCAAATTTCACTTATTTCCTTACTACAGATTTTACTAATTTCATTACTAATCTGTCCCAAGCAGTAGTCTCCATCACTCTTAACCCTCCCTTTTTTTTATGTTGGCCTCCTTTCTCCTATCTCCTAGTTTTCAAATACAAGTAGGCCTACAACTATAAATAAAACTTTGATTTCACCTAGTGTTCATCTGTCATCTGTCTTTCCATCTCCTCTACACCCACCAACTTGACTGCAAAATATAGATGTTTATGTAGGGTGAACCAAGTTGCCTGTGTACTTCATTGACTGTGAATGTCAGCTCTGCTTTGACAATTAGAGGTCACAGACACCTGATTCACATGTAAGCACCGGTATGTAGACAGACTGCTGAATTTAGGTGTCTTCATCTGGAACTGAACCCCACCCTCCCATCACATTTTGTCAGGTTATGCTTTTTCTTCTTCCTGTAGTCATAGGCAATACCTTCTGATGCATTCACTGCCTTCGGTTCGTCAGAATTTGTCTTTGGTCATCTGATTCTTCACTATGCTGTAGTAAGACATATATTTTTGTTTTATAGATGGCCATAGGCATGCTGGTTTTGTGGGTAAAGCATTACTGACATATATTTTCACTGGAAACCAAATAGTGAACTTTTATCTTATATGGATACCATTTGTGTTTTCTGATGCCTGCTAATGACAACTTGTAGCAGATGAGCACTTTTCTGTGAATAGGTTTTTATTTGATTGTAGTGGCCTTGAGTTTGAAAACAAATCTTTCAGCAGTCCAGGATACAAGGGGGTGTGGGACTTTTTGGCTTATTGGGATGTATTCTTATCAGAGATTTACATGTGAAACTTGGGCAGAGCACTTCTATACATGGCCAGAAGTGGAAGTGGAATGAAGAGCAAGTGCCCTCCACTGCGCGAAAAAAGCACTAGCAAGACATCTTACAACTCCAGAGCAAGTCCATGTCTCTGTTGAAGGAAGGATCCCAATATGAACTGGGAGAGAAGGCTAGTGTTTGGGTTTCATCTAGTGCCATGTGACCCTGAGCACTGTGTCTCTCAACATGGTATTCTGCTCATTGCTTCTGACAATTTTTTCTCTCGATGACTTGTAAAAAGCTTTTTCTTCTTTTTTCTCTCTGCAAACCAGATTAGCCTATACAGGCTAGAAAGTAGCTGCTGAGGTTAGGGTATCTGTTGAAGATCTATTTATCTTGCAATATATTTATCTTTAAGATACCTGTATCTCAGCTAAGTTTAGTTAAAAACTAACAGTAGACTCAGATTTTCACAGAGGAGAATGGTAAACAGTCAAACAGTACAAACCCATGAAGTTCATTTCCCCAGGAAATCAAAGTAGAAAGAGATATCATCTTCAAAAAAGTAGTTTTTTATTCTTGATGAAAACAAGGACTCCTAAAATTATACAAGTCATGACTGATATCTAATGCTATGTGCGAGTTACATTGTGTGTTAAATAGTACCATTTGTTCCACTATAGTTAAGGGTTTAC